CATGCCTGCGTACCGCCTCACCTTTGCCAACTGACACCCACGTAACAATGGCGCCCAACGAAATAGCCCAATAAGACTTTTATTTTTATCATACGTAACTTTTAACTTTTTTGTTAGTATCTCTCCTTTTTTTTTCTTTTCCCAACTTTCTTTTCCTTCTTTTTCTTACATATTGGACGAGTTAGGGTCATGCGGGCAGCATCACTTGCGGTCACCGAGAGTGATAAGTGCCTGAGTGACAAAGATCATGGAGGGAAGTGAACATCTCCACTTCGAAGTGCCTTCCTGTTTGCCTTAGCGCACTGGGGAAGTGATATTCGGAGTTGGGATGTCACCATTAGTATTTGTTTTAGTTTTTTTTCTGCTTTTTGTGATCCTTGCCTATTAGAGCTACCTCGTATGCAATCCAGCATAGCATACCAGTGAGGTTCGTAGGTGACTTCACGGGGGGTAATGGGAGGAAATGTGGCATCCACCACTGGAGTTATGACACTGGCGGTTGATATGCCACACTTGATATAAAGTAAGGGGGGATTAGTTGACAATTGACATCGGACTGCTGAAAACGGACTTAACGCTCCCACAATGACCTCGCTCGGTGTAACACCACCCACACACCAAAGAAATTGATTATTGTAATACAGCAACAAAATCAAGTGTTATATTCGTGCATACAAGTACATGTACCTACATATAGAAACAGTTATAAATAAACCAAGCATCGTTATTTTGCTAGAAAACATAAGTCCAGCGTTTTCTTTTGAATTTTGAATTTTTGTGTATATACTTTTATATTTTCTTGCGTTTATCTTTATTCTTTTTATGAACTGCAATTTTTTATTTTATAGAATAACTATTTTTCAATTAAATTCAAATATTTACCCTATAACCGTTAATTCACTATCACCCTTTGGAATATTCTTTCTTGATTTTTGCGGTATTTTTCTTTGAATTGAAGTTTGGCTATTCGGATTTGTGGATTTTTTTTTTTTTGAATTTTCGAATTTGGATTTTTTGCGGGTTGTAAGGAGATTTCCGAATTTCAGGATTTAAGTGTTGTAAAACTTTAAATCACGTTTCGGCCGCGTGTTAATTTATTTTTTTTTTTTTTTTGCGTATACGAAGTGTAGATTTCATTGTATGGAAGAGCAAGAGCCTGAAGATAGAGTAGTTTCAGGAGGATTGGGTCTGCTAGATTCGAACCGCAGGGTCACACGTAGCGTAGCAAGAGCTTTAGAAAATCAGGTTGTCGGGTCAATATTTACCCAGATCGACACGGGTATACAACATCCTGTAGATTTTCTGCCAACGGATTATTTAAACCGGTGCGCAGCGCGCATATTTGGCACATCCAATCAAGAGGTGCCCCAGCAACCCAGTGTTCGAGTTACAAACGAACTATTTCTCAACGCTACGGATAACAGCCTGACGTTTTCACGTAAAATTGAGGAATTATTTAACATGTCAGAGGAAGAACAGCAAACTGGGGGAAGCATGCCATTGAATGATCAAGGGCCAGGCGGATCGAAATCTCACAGTGGTGGACCAAGTTCTGCAGCCATCAATGTCGAGCAACTGAGCCGTATGATGGCGATGATGGCTCAACAAAATGACATGATGGCGCAATGCATGAACGAGGTCCGCCACATGCGAGATAATGTAGTGAACCTCAATAGCAGGGTGGCTGAGGTGGAGACTTCGATGCAAGGGACTAGGAGTCAACCAGCCAGGGCATCAACGCCAGAAGAAAGACGCGAGACGTCCACGACAGAGCATGGCCCTGGAGCAGAAAAACCACCGAGTCAGTCCCACTCACGAAAGGAGGCAAGCTACCGAAAAAAGATAGATCTAGATAAATGGCATGTAAAGTTCGATGGTTCTGCCAAAGGTTTAACTATAGAAAGTTTTATTTTTCGGATAGAAAAGATGAGGGAGCAATACGACATTTCCTACTATCAGCTATTTACAGATTTCCACTGCTTGGTTACGGGCAGCGCCTTAAAATGGTACTGGCAGGTCCTCGAGGATCATGCCGATGAGCCAGACTTCGGCTATTTCGAACTAAAGACCGAGCTGCTAAACCATTTTAAGAGCGCTGAATCGGATTACGAAATAATCCGAGAAATAATGGAGAGGAAACAAGCACCCCAAGAGAGTTTTGAAGAGTTTTATAGTGAGGTCCACGATTTAACCTTCCGGCTTAGGAAAAAAATCCCCGAGCAGGAGTTAGTAGGAATTATAAGAGGTAACCTTAAGCCATATTTGGCCAACGTAACTTTCGCGTCCCGGATGGAGTCTCTAGCAGAATTAAAATCAGAATGCAGACGAGCGGAGAAAGTTATGAGAGAGAATAGAAGTAGATCGAAGGCAGTTAATGAATTAAATATTACAGGGGTTGAGAAATCTGAGAACTTAGACCAGAATTATGTAGAGGCATTTGGTAGGCCGCACCATGATAAACCGCAGCAACCAGTGCAGGCCCGTGATAAATTGTCGTCGTCCGTTAGTCCTAATGTCCAGAAGCCTTCCATCCGTTCGTTTTGTCCGTCCCCGTTTCACTTAATGTTGTGTTTTTCGTGTGGTATGCCCGTGGATTATTTTGTTAAGAATCCGTCAGAAGAAAATAAGTGTAAATCGTCTTTCCATAATATGTTGTGTTTCGCGTGCGGCAGTGATGCGTCATTTTGTGTTTTCAAGCCGAATCAGGGAAACGTGAAGGTGGCGGAGATCTCCGGGAACTCTCGCCAGGGAGCGGAAAACCCGGAGCCAACCCAGTGAGAATCCTTAGAAGAGAGAAAAGCGAAGAAGTAGTAGAAAAGAGAAGAGCAGAATTAAGCAGAGAAGCTAAGAGCTTACATCACAGAAAGCTCGAATACGAGGAAGCGCGTAGACGTATATTCGGCGAAGAACTGGCAAAGGTGAAGAAAAGTAGGAATTTTAGGAAGATAGGTAAGATGAGGGAAAGGAAAAAGAATCTTCGTAGGATACGCCGTAAGATAATTTCCACAATAGTCACAGTTAACGGAGATAATAGATTTTTCGCCAAAACTAAAATCGGTGGACAAGAGGTGCTAGCTTTATTAGATTCTGGTGCAGGTGCTAGCTGTTTGGGGAAAAATGTAAGTAAGCTTCTCGAGGGTAAAGAGCACCTTATAGTGCCTATTAAGGGTCAGAAAATCCGCACGGCCAACGGTGGAGAGACTGAGGTAGAAGGTGTCATCACGCTTCCCGTCTTGTGGGATAACGTTGCCAAGAACTTAGAGTTTTTAATTGTACCAGGCCTTCAGCAAGAGGTATACTTAGGTGTTGATTTTTGGCAGGCGTTTGGCATGTGTGTTGTGAGTAAAGGTTCGGCTACAAGTGTGAATGGGAATGTGGTATCAGAGCTCGTACCCGCCGATGTAGACTTAACTTTTGACGCGGTACAACACGACCTGACCCATGACCAAAGCTTGGCCTTAGAGCGAGTAAAGGCCCAATTTCCGTCTTTTGCTGTGCTAGGACTAGGGAAAACCGATAAAGAAGAACATATAATAGAAGTCACCAATGAAAATCTGCCGGTAAAGCAAAGGCACTACCCGATTTCGCCAGCCATTCAAAAGCTTGTATATACTGAATTGGATAGAATGTTAGATATGGGCGTGATTGAAGAAAGCAACAGCAGCTGGAGCTCCCCCGTATCACTCGTGGTGAAGGGAACGAAGAACCGGTTGTGCTTGGATGCTAGAAAAATAAATGAACGAACAATAAAAGATGCGTACCCCCTCCCCCATATTGATGGCATTTTAAGCCGGCTGCAAAATACTCGCTTTATATCAGCAATAGACTTGAAGGATGCTTTCTGGCAGATACCTTTAGAAAAGAAATCCAGGGAGAAAACAGCCTTCACAGTACCCGGTAGACCATTGTATCAATTTACTGTCATGCCTTTTGGGCTGTGTAATGCAGCACAACGCATGTGTAGACTAATGGACAAGGTTATTCCCGCTTCTTTACGTGAGTCCGTGTTCGTGTATTTAGATGATTTACTTGTGTGTTCTGTCGATTTTTCGTCCCATTTGGATTTGTTAGAAAAGGTTGGTCGGTGTCTTCGTGAAGCAAAATTAACAATAAACGTGGAAAAAAAGTAAATTCTGTTTTAAAGAAGTGAGGTATCTCGGTTACGTTGTTGGCAACGGTTGCATCCGCACAGATGCAAGCAAAATCGCCGCCGTCAGAGATTTTCCGGAACCACGAACCCCGAAGCAGCTCAGACGGTTCCTGGGGATGTCAGGCTGGTACCGTAGATTCATACAGGACTACGCGACCATTGCAGCACCGCTGCACGACTGCCTCACAAAAGACAAAATCAAGAAGTTTACGATGACGGACGAAGCCAAGAAGTCGTTTGGCCGATTAAAGCAGAGCTTGATTTCAGCACCTGTGTTAACCCATCCGGACTTCAATAGACATTTCTACATTCAATGTGACGCATCAACGGACGGTGTGGGCGGGGTCTTATTTCAATTAGACGACGCAGGAAATGAGCGGCCAATAGCATACATTTCGGCTAAATTGAATAAGGCACAACGAAATTACAGCATTACTGAGCTAGAATGTTATGCAGCGGTGCTAAGCATCAAGAGATTTAGGCCATACGTTGAGGGACTGCCCTTTACGGTGATCACTGACCACGCCAGTTTAAAATGGTTAATGAACCAAAAGGATTTGTCAGGCCGACTCGCAAGGTGGAGCTTAAAACTACAAGGCCACACTTTTGACATTCAACACCGTAAGGGGTCCCAGAATATCGTGCCGGATGCCCTATCGCGGATAGACATGGATGAGATAACGAAGAATAACCGCCTCTTAGACATTTGCCTTGATTCACCGTTCTTTAAAACGGAAGAGTATGAAGAACTCAAGAAAACCGTAACTGATAACCAAGACAAACTACCTGAACTATGCGTGTCGGACGGTTACGTTTACAGACGAACGCAATTTAACAGTGGGGATGACCTTCAACAGGACCATGCCTGGAAGCTCTGGGTGCCAACGGAGCTGCGTCGAGGGCTAGTGGAAGCAGCGCACGATTCACCGTCGGCCGGCCATGGTGGCATTCACAAGACATTAACGCGAATTAGAGAAAAGTATTATTGGCCAGGCATGGTAACAAACGTGCAGGCATACCTAAAAGAATGCGAAATCTGCAAAGGCAGTAAAACACAGAATGCGTTCCATAAACCTATGATGGGTAAGCAGCATGTGACCGAGAGACCATTTCAACGTTTATTTATAGACTTTATGGGCCCATACCCACGTACATGTAGTGGTAACGTCTTTGTGTTTGTATGTTTAGACCACTTTACCAAATTTGTCTTTTTAAAACCTATGCGGAGTGCCACTTCAGCAAATGTGATCAAATTTCTTGAGAATGAAGTCTTCCATACTTTTGGCGTTCCCGAATATATCCACTCGGACAACGGGAAGCAATTTGTTTCAGTTTTATTTAGCCAATTCCTGGAAAAATATGGGACTCAGCATATCAGGACTGCGTTTTATTCACCTCAGGCCAACGCGGCAGAAAGGGTAAACCGTTCGGTGTTACAAATTGTGAGGTCATATATCAAAGACAACCAAAAGAATTGGGATGATCATATTAGCGACGCCGCTTTTGCCCTCCGCAGCTCAGTGCATTCCGCAATTAATGATACCCCGTATCAAGCTGTCTTCGGTATGCCTATGATACAGCATGCTGCATCATACGAGCTATACCGAAGACTGGGCAAAGTGAGGGATGCGGACTGCGAAATTGAAATGCTGGCCGACAGGACACGGCTTATACGAAATAAAATTATGAAGGAATTGAAGTTGGCCCATGAACGCAGTAAGAAGACGTACAACACGAGGAGTCGGGAAGTGCAATTTAAAGTTGGACAAGTGGTGTACCGCCGAAACTTCAAGCAGAGTTCACAGATTGAAAATTACAACGCGAAACTTGCCCCAAAGCAAGTTAAGTGTATTGTGTTAAAAACCATCGGGAATTCGATGTATGAACTTGGTGACACCAGTGGCAAGAAGATCGGGGTATACCACGCTAAGGATATCTTTGTGGCATAGTGTAGGTAACTGTGTTGTATGTTGTTGTTATGTGTTAACTGTTATGTACCAGATCGTTTTGTGCTAGTTGTAGTCACTTGATATACGTACCTACATTTGTTCGTAACACAGTGCTCTTAGCTACTTGACCTTTAAATGTATTTTATTTTACCACTTGACATCTGTAGTTCTAAAATTTAGGCCTTCTTCTGTGATATTTATTGATGTATTTGACGAAGAATGTGGTTATTTATTCTATTTATTAATTTAATTATAGTTTATTTACGTATTTATTTATTATTATTACTACTGTTTTTCTTGATTGTTCACTTATTTATATTTATATTTATATATTATTTTGTTTTATGTTTGTTATTATTTATTTTAGTTTTAATTTTTTTAATTTTTTTACTATGTATATTTATTTACTAATTTATTTACTTATGACCCTTCTCCAATCTGTGATATAGACAAAAGCTGTATATACGTAGAAGTAGTAGTGATCTGTGATATAGTGTAGATACATATGTAGATACATACACCTACCCAGTGATAACCACGCTATGTAGGAGCAAGATAACTTGGAAGCCCGGCTTTTGGTCGTGGGTCGAAGCCACACGTTGGGTGGAAAATTAGAACACGGAAACGCTGTGTTATGTATCTTTTACGCGCACGCTCCATGATGCGGGCATCATCGGCGGTCGCGAGCCTGTAACAGCAGCTTTTACCAGAAGTGAGTGCGTTAGTGTGCATGTAT